TATATATATATATATATATATATATATATATATATATAGGATGCGCGGTGGAGTGGGGGAATCGGAGAGCCGGTTCGAATTCCAGTCGAATCCATTACATTCACTTACATGCTAATACCCTTGGGAAAGGTATTATTCCTCTTCTCCCTCCAGCTATGGGTAAATAGCAGGACAGACTGGGTTCTATAGCCTTGGATGGCAACTGGTCTAGGAGAATGAATTCAAAACCTGTGGAAGGTTCTTTGGAGACCTTGTGGGACGTAGTGCAACAGGTCTCTGTATTCGGACCTTCAAAAAGTGTCGATAGTTCTGCACAAGACCGCTATAATCAAATCAGATGTGCTGGTATCTGGCTGTCGGTTCCAAAGAACTGAGCTGCTTGACCCTCGTACGTCGAGAGTCCACCATATATATATACGGAGAGTCCACCATATATATATATATATATATATATATATATTAGTGCTTATTCAACCCCCATATATATATATATATATATATATATATATATATATATATATATATATATATATATATATATATATATATATATATATGGGGTTGAATAAGCACAAATGCATGAGAAAGCGTCTGCAATAGTGATTGGCTAGCCGCCATAGTAGAAAGGTACCCTCGAATACGAGTGGCTATACTAGCTATACTATATATATATATATATATATATATATATATATATATATATATATATATATATATGTATATATATATATATATATATTTATACATTCTTTTTATAGATACAAATATTTAAGTAAATGTTCTGCTTATAATAAACAGTATTAATAACATTCACCGGCATGAATGTCCGAGAAATTTTCATAGAAAATATTGGTCCTCCGACAGGAATCGAACCTGTATCCTATACGGAACCGTCATATAGCCTGGTGGAAGATTGTAGTTTAAAAGCAGTAAAATCGACCTTGCTAACCGAACGATCATCTGTCTCTCAATCGGTTAAGGCACGTCAGGCTCTATGACGGTTCCGTATAGGATACAGGTTCGATTCCTGTCGGAGGACGCATATTTTCTATGAAAATTTCTCGGACATTCAGACCTGTAAATGTTATAAATACTGTTTATTATAAACAGAGAATTTACTTAAATATTCGTATCTATAAAAAGAATGTATAAACATGAAAATGTCTTAAAATAATTGTCGGACATTGTCCATTTCATAATATATATATATATATATATATATATATATATGAAGAAATATACTTTAAGGTGTGCTATATTTATGGGATAAAGTTCTCAATATCAGATATAGAGCGTGTATATATATATATATATATATATATATATATATATATATATATATGAGGAGCAAAAATGTAACCTCACACAACTTTGGTTTTGACCGTCAGGTTTCTTCAGATTGCGAGCAATGTGTTCGTAATACCATACTAGAATTATACAACTGTGGCACTATAGAAGGGGAAGATGTGTAGAAAAGAGAAAAACAAAACTTCATCTGGGGTCAAAGGAACCGAGGATATTTTTACATATTTGTCTATACCTCGACATTATTTCAATTCTGCTGTTTTACAAAATACTGCTATTCTTATAAGTTGCTATAGTCAGTTTCCCTTCCTGGCACAGCCTCGGTTTGACTTGTTTTAAGATACTGCACTTTATGCTTGGGCTTCTGCCATGTTCATCCTTTAATTTCCAAACGTGATCTGCCAATTTTGTATTGCACCTAAAGTGAAGTATGGTTATTCCAATGTTTCTTGAATGGACCTTCGGTGCAACGAACATAGATCTTCTGGCTATTGTCGTCGCAAAATTCAGCCTGGTCGACCACTTCTTCTGCACAGTACATCCCGTTTAGAGGACAATTTTTTTTTAATTCTATAGTTATATAAACAGTTTTTTCCTTATTTCTTGAATGATTTATATTTAAAGTCTTAGCATTATGCTTTTTTATCAAATTACTTAAATTGCCCATACAGCTATAACCTAATGTAACAGGGTTCCTTTTGAAAACCTTTGATAGTTCAAACGATTTAGAGAAATGCTTTTCGTAATAGATCGAAAATTCCTGCTAAAGGAAAAAGTGCTTCTCGTTAGAAATCGGGCGTGTATTCCAATTATTCACCAGGGAAACTAACCCTTTAGCCAAAGCGTGTACTTAACAATTAAGCCACGGGAGTCCGTCAACATAATGTGGACTCAGTTATATGGAATGTGCGCATCCTAATGTAATTGTCAAATCTATATTTACTTACTTTTAAAAATTTAAGTACAGGATCATAGAGCCTATTTCCTTTCCGCACAAAAATAATGACGATGCAGTGTGAGATAATTGAAAGCGATATTGGTTGGTAAAACAAAGCTGAATAAGATTTGTATATATATATATATATATATATATATATATGCCAGACGTCCAAATTTAAAGTTACAGCTGAGCTTACATGTAGTTTTAACGTCTTCCATATGTATACAGCCTTGTTGCATTGCTCTGACATTTTGCCAGTACGAACATTTCAGAGTATTTGGGTGTAATCTGAGGACATACAGTAGATTTGGAAAGAGTTGGATGAGTCTAATGGTGATTACGAAGTTAAGGCAGCTCAGAAAGTTCAATGATCATCCTGATAAGAAAAGAACTCCAGAATTCGTTGGTGAGGGTTTCGGACTCAATACGAAGGCCTACATCAAGTGTATGGAGGAGGTGGTGCCGCACTGGGTCAAGATGGTGGCTGCTGGAAGAGTTTATGTCTGACAAAATGACTCTGCACCATACCACACAAGCAGGAGAATGGTTGCCAGTCATGACTGTCAGACAATTTCTGCCACCACATCAATGCTTACATCTGGCTACCTAACTCTTCAAACTGCAACTCTTTTGATAATTATTTATGGAGCGCAGTTGAGCCAGAAACCAACAAAACTCCCTGTACCACCAGAGATGAATGGAAGGTAAGAATTATGACAGCATTCACCAGCTTAAACGAGGAAACCGTCCAGAAGAATTGAAAGAGATTCTAAAATCGTCTGGAGGCCGGGATTGAAGCCAATGGCGATTTTATTGAATAAATTTACTTTTTAGTATTTCAAGATATCTGCTAAAATGAGATATCAGTGTTATTTTCGTTTTTACCTAATTTAGACGACAATATATCCATCGCACCATGTATGTACATTCAATAGGCCGTGTTAATAATTTTTTTCTCTTCGTGCTTCAATTTAGCTAAAAGACTATATATATATATATAAATGATATATCAATATCATCAATTTTATTGCCAATATTGTTATCATTTTGTTGTCATTTTATTTCTCAAATTTTATGAACCAGCCTAATAAAATCAAGGCTGAACACACACACACACACACACACACACACACACACACACACACACACACAGATATATATATATATATATATATATATATATATATATTTGAGGTCAACACCCACTTTTTATATTTACATACGCTCTATCTCTGATATTGAGCTATTTAACCCATAAATATAACATACCTCAAAAACTATATTTTCATCATATATATATATATATATATATATATATATATATATATACAAACACACACATATATACACACACACACACACACACACACACAGAGAGAGAGAGAGAGAGAAGCGTGAGAGCATATTATATATATATATATATATATATATATATATTTTTGTTAGCTGTTATTGATTCAAGTTTTATTATAAAATAATGAAAAAAAAAATGTTAACGATATTTTTATTAACGTTTTCCTTCTTTCTGCTGACTTGTTTAATATTGGGATTGAAGTTGTATAAATATTATTCAAATTATGAACGCTTTCGGCTTTTATAAACGATTGTCAAAGAAAGCTCATATTAGTTTTACTTAAAATGCTTTTGGAGTTACAATATTATTTTAGGCCTTACGTTATTCTTTAGTTTAAAATATCATGCCTTCATGTTTTAATTTCTGCTTCATTTTTATTTGATTTTTAGCCATTAAATGTACCAAATATGTTCTTAAATTGTATGATATTTTATTAATGCAACGTTTATTTCTTATAGTTAAGGCTTTTAATATATGTAGTAACTTTTCAGTTTCTTTATTTGATAAATATTTGTCGGATATATTTTGTGCTTGTGTTGGTTGATGATATGCGATTTAATAAAGATCTTATGAAATAAATGATACCTTAGTCTATAAGATAATATAACCAATTTATAATTTATTTGAATTTGAAACCATATCTTGATGGAATCTTTCCCCTTTTTTGTCACTTACATCATCTAAATTACTTGGATATAGGTCAAGATGGCTATTCCCAAAATGCATTTTTACGCTCATATTGCATAGTCCCTTACAATACATTTTACGATTTCTTCGTGGTTATCTGCTCTATAATTGCCTAAAAAATTTCCTGTGAAGCCCATAAATGAGAACCAGCCATTTTTTCGCGTTCATTCATGACATTACGAAAATTGCTGTCTTTAATGTTCTTATTTGTAGACCGTTGAAAATTTCCACCTTGGTTTATATAGGAACTTATAAAATAGGTACGTACAATCTATGAAATTAAACTAGATACACGGATAAGTAGGTTCAATACAAATTGCGTTTAATTAAATCATCTATTAAATCATATGGCTGAATTGGCTGATTAACTCAAGAAACGAGTCGTTTTTATATATTTTAGTTGTCCTTCTAGAATATTCTACAGAAAACAGGAACGCCACAGAAAATTCTAGAATTCTATGAGATTTTTTTAGTTTAAATTACTAATATTATAATGCGCTAAAAATGACAGAATCAAAAATGTTTTAAAGGTATTACATATAAACGTATATATAATACAACGATGCCATGACAAAAGATAAAAATACAGACAAAAATCTAGTTGTATAATGTGTAACTGCAAAAAGTGAATATAACGAACCCAACGAATCGAAACTCTGCTCTCGGATTAACAATTCCGAGTTATTATCTATTACACCACCCGCACATCCAAGCTTACCGCATCTCGTATTCTCAAGCGGTCACTCATCTAGATACTGATCAAGCACGACGTTGTTTATCTTCGGTGATAGTACGGGAATCGGTGTTTCAACGTGTTATGGTCGTAAGCCACAATAGAAATTAATCTAACCGCTGATATAGAATAATTAACAAAACTAAATTTATAGGTGTTATATCAGGGCAGCTTACTGCCCAAATCAGTGGTCCCACTTTGCCAAGACATCTATTTGGTAATTTTCTATCCCAAGCACTCTGGCAACATATCTGTAAATGTACAAGCGCATTATCCCGCTAAGATATCGTTGTTTGCAAAACCCTTCTGGATAGTTGTGAGGAAAAAGAGTAATGGGTGAACATGTTCAAGTACTTTTCGCCTGTAATGTTTCCATCAATGAAGAAAGGTCCGTAAACATTTGGTGATGACAGACTCATTCAGACGTTTACCTTCCGGATTGAGTGACATTTACTAATTGTTTCTCTCTAGGACGGGAGGCTATCTGCCTCTAAAAATATTTTCGTAATTGTTTGATTTGTGGTGAAAACATTATAGAAACAGCAGTTAAAAAAAATGCCTTCATAATTATTTATTCAGTAGTTTAGAGCGCTATTCTAAAACGAATTGCATTTTGCAAAAAAAAAGAATATATGTAATCATTACATTATTGCATGTGCTACATAGTCTGATTTGCGCGTCCATTATTTTATATTTGCGGTATCTAAGAATGATTTTTAGCAGTGTTATACACATTTTTAAATAACATTTTCACAATGATTTATTAAGCGATAGGTTTTCATTAGGTCCTTGAAGTAATTATATACAGCTTGAGTATCGTTTATCGGAAATTCCCAAATAGGAAAACCTCCAAAATCCGGAAGTTTTTCCAGTGCTAACATGACTTGGCGCAAATGGAAAATTTCAGAAAGTAACATGGCTACCCTTAGCGTTACAAATCAAATGCTGACTTTTTCAGTTTTCGTTCCATTTAACTGTAATCAGAATCCATGTTTTGTTTTTATACAAATATTGTACCTGTATGTATTGTAAGATTTCAATCAAAACACGACGTCGTTGGTAGAGACTGATGGCTCACCGAATTTTCCTTCTCACACTTGCATCGATTAGGTATTCTTTGCCTCCAGTTTCTTACACCGGATGTAGAAGTAGTATTTGGTGTAACATTTATATCTTTTTTTGCAAGTAATGACCATGTTTTTTTTGTTTTGTTTTTTTTTGTTTTGTTTTTTTTTGTACGTACAGAAAGTACAAATCATTATTTTTACGTGAAATCCTACTTTACCACTTAAAAATCCGTGTAAGCATTACAAGATTAGCGACATTGCTTTTATCTGTATGTACACAAAATTTATTAAATTTTATATAAAACTACTTTCAGGCTATATGTATAAGCTGTGTTATTTTCGGGATATGATTCTAATTGAAAAAGAATCAAACTAGCCTCTTTCTCATTTTTTTCTTCTCATTATAATTAGTGTTCTCATTATCAAGGAAGATTTATTGAAACAAACAAAGTTCAGTTGACCACTGATGAACTGTGTTATGAAATGTAAACGGATATCGTGTTTATGCTTGGGTTCCATTGCTGAGCAGCTTCATTTTATGGATGCTATGTACAAATTAAATAACCTGTATTCCAAAATCCGAAAAAAATCTGAAAACCGAAGCACCTCTGATCCCAAGAATTTTACATAAAGGATTCTCAGCCTGCATATATATGATAAGATAAAGAACAAATAAGAAACGTTTTTCAAATTTTTTTTAAGCGTTTCACCCCAAGCAAGGCGAGAAGCCACTAGGACGCAAGGGGTTACAGAAAATTTGGAGCAAGATCAGATAGGAGTGATAGAAGAAAGGATGAGGAGAAGGATAGTGGATAGATCAAGGCAACTGGAGATGTCGATTGACATTACATTTGAATAGTTGGAGATTATAACTCTCAGGGAAACTGGAATAGGGAAGGGAGTTCCACAGGCGCGAGGTGCGAGACATGAAGCTATTGGAGTAGAAGAGATCTAGGAGTTTCGACAGTGAAAGGGTGAGAGCGGGATGCCAGCCTCGTAGGGCGCTTGAATTCATGAAGTCTGGGAACCAGCGAATGCAGATCCTCGGAGTAATTTCCATGAAACTATTTGTAAAACAGACAGAGAGAGGCGACGGCGCGTCTGTGAGAAAGTGACTGTAGACGAGATGCCAGAGCAGGGCCAATTATATTGCATATCCGCCTCTGGAGCCTATCAAGAACCCCGAGGCAAACAGAAGGGGCTGCAGACCATATATGGTAGCAATACTCCATGCAAGGGTGAATTATTGATTTGTAGATCTGGAGGATCGATTCCAGGGAGAAAAAATTAAACATGTTTTACTTTTATTAAAGCTTCGCGACTAAGCTTCCATAAGTGGAAAAAATTAGCTTGATAAAATATTTCCAGGTTGTTCTTTGTCTGACAAATTCCGATCCATATTTGATCCCAACTCACACACACACACACACACACATACATACATATATATATATATATATATATATATATATATATATATATATATATATATATTGTCATCCACAGATAGACTGTTTCGCTGTATCACAGCTCCTCAGTTATGACTAGACGTCCGGTTGCTTCTAGCTAGGATCAAAAGCCGGATACATATTATAATTAGAAATAAGAATATTCAGTTCCTATAAGAGTCTGCCTAAGATTGCACATTGGAAAAAAAAGAGTGCTCAATGGCAGAGCTTTAATATGTTTTAAGTCGAATTTCAAGTGAGCAGTGACCGACCATGACTCCCAGTTTCATGCGCTTTCGTGCAATTATCGGCAGTCGGTAACTGTAGTTTGTGAAATTAGGAACTCTTATACCGCCAGGCAAGTTCAAGATGGAAAGTCATCCAAACTTACCAGGTAGAGGGCAATAGCAAAAAAAAAAAAAAAAAAAAAAATATCCACAAGAAATGTTTTACCGGTGCAACAAAAAAGTGTTCAATGTCAAAGGGAAGAAAAGCATTGATAGTGAGTTCAGTACTGGATACATCGAAGCTCTAGTCCATCTCTCATCGTAAGAACAGGTTTATAGTTGTTATTCTTTGTTATTATTAAATTTCATCAGTAGTCCCTTCACATTTTCACTTGTCCATCTATCTTTTTGCTCACCTAGAGAGCCGGTTTAGTGATTAATCCACCACCACTACAACAACACTTGTAGTAATAGTAATACTTTTTTATGAATACCACATAACCATGTTTCTTCCACCATCTTGTAAACTAGAATTCACTGTTTCCCCACACACAAAAGCATTGAACACCATAATCCTGTTTTTCTATACTGGGTTTTATTAATTTTTTCTGCCCCAATAGGTTCGTTGGCCTTAAATCTTTACCATTTACAGAAAACATTTTTGATCATTTTAAATAAATTAAATCTACTTTAAAAAATTTAAATAAATTAAATCTGTTTTAATAATTTTTTTTAATAAACAAAATATAAATAACACATTAACTGGATTCGTCTCGGCCTATAATAATTAACATTCCATACTTAAAGCTATTAGTAATAGAATCTAAGCAAAGATTGATGATATGGGAAAATTTCTTTGAAGAGAATAAAATGTTAATTTATAAGGCAATGAATCTTAAATTGAATTTCTGATAAATATAGGATTACTTTATTAATTACTAAGAAATATTGCAAATTAAAATTATTAAATTAACCTTTATTACCGAGTAGTTTCTCGCGGTAATAAAAGTTTTTTTTTCTTTTTCAGTTGTAAATGTGGTTGATATTTTTCAATAGATTGTTGACACGTATTTTATTGAATGCGTGTTTTGAATATGGTGTCAGCTTTAGCGAAAAATGACTTTATTTTTCAAAATCCAATCTTATTGTAAGTCGATATGTCTATACGTTGTTTTCCATAGCATTTCTGTATTTGATGGATTTTACATTTTAACTTTTTTTTATATATTATTTTCCGTTTTTGGGTTTGTTTTTTTTTTTTTTTGCTTTTTACTTTATTTTTTTTTTTTTTTCGAGTGTGTTTGCATAGAGACATGTCAGTAAAAAAACAAAACAAAACAGATTTGCTAATATAATAGGAAAAAATAATATCTGTACCGGTCTTACTGCAACGCATAATTTTAAGTCGAGCAACTTCCACCAACAATGAATTTGAATGAAATGAAATCAATATAAAATACAAAACTCGAACTTTTTTTTTGTTCATGTGATATATAAAAATTACTTATATGTCAACGTAGATTTGTATGACTGTACTTTTTTTATATCACTGAATCCACCTGTTCTACCTTTTTCAAGAGTCAAATCAAACCAAAAATGGAGTTTTTCTACTAGATCTCTGCTAGAGCCGCTTTAACCTCACTTTGCAGCCTTGACAGAGTTCAGAAGTATCTACGCAGTCTTGTAAACGATTAATTATTTTCTACCCTACAACTCCCCCCACATACACCCCAATGACTAAACGTCACAAGCCTCTGGCTATTCAAACACTATTCCATCGAAAATGTTCTGACGAGCTACATTACACAGATCCACCAGTTTACAACTTTACTTATCTATCTTTATATAAATGTCTGTGAGTTCCGCCCGTTCCCCAGTCCGTCACACCCTCTAAAATAGCCGTAAATTGGCCGATCGAATATAAATTTTGGAGAGAAGTGAAAACAGATAACGGGTTATACATTAGAGTTGATTTTTTATTAAGGTGCGTAGCTGAAGTACAATAAATTTTCATTAATTTTTGGAAAAATCAAGTTTTATTATATAACTTACAAAATACTCCCACTTTTTTTTAAAAAGCAATTGAATGATTAAAATAACAAATACTTATTTAATAATATTTCAATATTGCTTTTTGAATATATTTTCTTGAATTTTTTAAATACCAGTTTCTTGTTTGCTCTGCGTTTGCGTGAACGATAAACAAACCACAAGGCCAAACGCTTCAAAAAGTTGAAATTAGCTCCAAAAAGAAATATTTACTCAGTTATATGTTGCATCCTTAAAAGTAAGAAATCCGAAGAATTTACTCTTTGCTGTTAAAATGCAAAAAAAAAAAAAATTCTTAAAAAATACTGTTTACCATGAAGTCTTAAAAAATTAAATTAAGTTAAAGAAATTATTAAAGCGCGAAATAAGGTTTTTCTTAAAGTATTTTCCAAACAAATCAGCTTATTTAAATTTCATCGACTAATTTACGAAATTGAACGAAATGTAGAGTTTGTAAATCTCGACAAAAATGTTAGCGATAACTTCAAAAATACTAAATACTGTGATGATTTCAACACGCGTCAGTATTATCTCTGTCTATAAAAGGCAGGATGTGTGTGTGTGTGTGTGTGTGTGTGTGAAACGAATGCACGGCGGCAATTTTCGACGGATTTGCACCAAAATTTACATGCACATGCTCCAAGTTAGAGAGAAGGCCAAGACCGACTTTGCATTTCCCAACTCCCATCGATAGTGGAAATAATCGATTTTTTCATGCTTCTACGGCAGTTTTCATGTAGTTTGCGGCCATTTTCTACTGGTCATCGTGAGAGCCTATAGCTGGCTGCCACGAATAGGCAGGAAGATTCTATTGGCCATCGTGAGAGCCAACAGCTGACTGACACGAATGTTAACTAGCATGCAAAAAAAAATCGATAGTTGCATTGGTCACAAGTGGGAAAAATTTAAATCTGCATGTCACTTTACTCCAATTGGCTCATTCACTTGCTTAAACTCAACGTTGATTCTAATTCCGCAGAACTGGGTTGGGTGTGAAAAAGTATTTGTTGTTAACATTCTTTTTTCATTCGGTTTTTCCAGTTACGAGTCCTTTTTTAAAGCTGATCGTTTTGTGTTCATTTTGTTTAGTTCTTTTTTTCATAACAGATTTAATGTTTAGTATAGAGCTTAGAAAAAATTCGCAGTGTGAGATAGGCAAGAAGTAAGGCATGTAGCAACATCAGCACGGCAAAGGGCACTCCTTTAAAGGCAAGGAAGGGCAAAAATATTTTAAGTCAAGTGATAGCGATTGCTGTATGAGTCGTACGATTTTTGAATCAAGCACGGGCAACGCCGGGCCATGCTGCTAGTATATATATATAAAATTGTTGTAGTTTACTTTGGCAGAGGAGGTGATGAGTTGATGCGAGAGAAAAAATGCATTGCTAGTTATACTGCCGTTGAGCTCTTTTATTTGTCCCGAGATAAATTGCCTTTCCTGGAGTAGTGAAGGGAGTGTGTTGACGAGAATACATACTTGTTTGCGAGCTGAAACATTGAATATGAGTTTACTTCTTGCGCAGTTGTCTCTTTGTTTTTTTTTAGTCGGTCAACTCCATATATTTTTAAATAACAGTGAGCCAACGACGATTCTTTTGGAAACTTTCCTTTTAGTCTGATCTTCACTACTGCCAATTAACAGAAACCACATCACTCTTTTAACTCGAAGAGAAAATAATGGCAGAATCAAGATGCTGATGTTCTACTGTACTTCGAACAAAAGGTTTAGAAGGAATCCCCCATAAATATTGGTAAGTATTGTTAAATAATAGTTTCAGGCTATTATTTTTTAGTGGCAGTGTATTTTGCTCAGACCTTCCGAGGCTGACCTTTGAGGTCAGATGTTAGATAAAATAGGGATGTCGATTTTAACCTGCTGAGCCGAACGTGGGCATGAGTTATAGATTAATGTTTTTGGGGGGGATTTGCTGTTTGGACGCCAGGCCTACTAGACGTGATGGATTGCGTTTGTACAAAAAAATTGAATGCCCGCAGTGAGGAAGGGTATTTCGAGAGAGGGTTGTTACATGTCACATGAAATGTACGTGTGAGATTTTCATGCTTGAAAGCGTCTCCCTAATAGTGGGTGTAGTAACCCCCACTTGATAGGATGTACCCGTCGACGTGGTTAATAATATAATATAAATTAAAAGTTCTTTTGGTTGATGCTTTTCGTCTCTGAAGTCACAGAACATTTCGCGACACCGACCAAGACAAGAAGAGGATTGAACTAAAACAACCCGCGATCACCGGCCAGACTAGATGAGACCAACCAACAGAAGGGCATACAACACAATTACTCGACTACAGAAAATTATTTTAGTAAGGAAAAGAAATTAAGAGGAAGAATTCATAAATTTCAATCGAAGTAGCACTGGCAGTTGAGTTAATGATGGCCGAATCTATCTATCACTGAATGAATGCATGAATGAATCAATCAATCTATCTATCGATCTATTTCACTTCATATCACTATCTATCTCTCAGTTCATATCACTATCTCACTCCATATCACTATCTATCTATCTATCTATCTATCTATCTATCTATCTATCTATCTCAGTATGTCCATATGTATCTCAATCTGCTCATACATATCTCTGTCTGTTCATATCTATCTATCTATCTATCTATCTATCTATCTTACTTCATATCACTATCTATCTATCTATCTATCTATCTATCTATCTATCTCAGTCTGTTCATATCTATCTATCTATCTATCTATCTATCTATCTCACTTTATATCCCTATTTATGTATCGTTTATATTTTCTCAAAATCTTTACATTTTATCTGAGGCTAATTTATCTCCCATCTCTCTCTCTCTCTCTCTTTCTCTTCCATCTCTCACTCTTTCTCTTCCATCTCTCTCTCTCTCCCACCTCTCTCTCTTTCACTTCCATCTTTCTCTCTCTTTCTCTCCCATCTTTCTCTTCCATCTCTCTCTCTCTTTCTCTCCCATCTCTCTCTCTTTCTCTTCCATCTCTCTCTCTCCCATCTCTCTCTCTCTTTCTCTTCCATCTCTCTCTCTCTATCATCTCTCTCTTTCTCTTCCATCTCTCTGTCCCATCTCTCTCTCTCTTTCTCTTCCATCTCTCTCTTTCTCTCCCATCTCTCTCTTTCTCTCTCTCCCATCTCTCTCTCTTTCTATTCCATCTCTCTCTCTGTCCCATCTCTCTCTTTCTCTTCCATCTCTCTCTCCCATCTCTCTCTCTTTCTCTTCCATCTCTCTCTCTTTCTCTCACATCTCTCTCTCTCCCACCCCACCTTTAAATTTCCCTCTGTTATTAATTGGTAAGTTATTCTTTCTTCCTGACTGATTCTCAATCTAATTAGCTCACTATTTTTTCATCAAATCATTCATCCATGAGTCATTTCTGTTCTTTCCCCCACCCCTCTCTATCTCTACTAACCCATATTGTTAAAAAAAAAATCTCTCGCCATCAATATCTCCCTTCTATGATGTTGGTGGCCATGACTTGTGAGTATCAAACTCTCGAAGCCCTCTTTCTTCATCATGTGCCTTAGTAATTTCTACTGTCTTTTTTTCTGATGTTATGTATAAATATCCTCTTTGTTTCTATTTTCTCTAAAATCTCTTTGTCGATCTCATGTTCGGTTCAACGTCCTTCTGTAGAACCACATTTCTGTTCCAGCCTCTTCTTCATTTGTGAAATTGTTCAGCATTCACTGCCATATACGAACACTGATTTTACATAACATTTCAGAACTCTTTTGTTTTTTTTCTAACGAAATTTTCCTGTTTCTTGATACTTTTCGTAGCTTTTGAAAAGCATTTTTCGCTAACCAAATGTGCTTTTGGATTTCAGTGTCGCACTTTCCGTCCTCTGTTAAAACACTTCCCAGATATTTAAAGAGTTGTACTTGTTTGACTTTGGTATCTCCAATTTGTATTTCGTATGCTGGTCTCTTCTTTTTTGCTAATAAACATGCATTCTGTCTTCTTGCAATTGCTGTTTAGTCTGATTGTTCGATGACGTTAACATTCGTTTGTATCTGGCTTCTTTGACAAGAGTAGGAAAATATTCCGTCCTCTTTCATTCTCATTTTCATTTTCATTTTCATTCTCTCTTATTCTTATTCACTTTTTCTCCCATAATATCTGGTTTTTGTCTTGTGTTTAACTATTTTTCCAGTGTCTCTATTTTCTTGTTTTTTATTCACCACCTTGGTTTACACAGCACTTCTTTTTTTTCTTAAATTATCTCTCTTAAAACGGCACCACTTTTTATCTATCTATCTATCTATCTATTTATCTATCTATCTATCTATCTATCTATCTATCTATCTATCTATCTATCTCAATCTGTTCATCTATCTATCTATCTATCTATCTATCTTTCTCAGTCTTTTCATCTATCTATCTATTTATCTATCTTAGTCTGTTCATCTATCTATCTCAGTCTGTTCATCTATCTATCTATCTATCTATCTCAGTCTGTTCATCTATCTATCTATCTATCTATCTACCTATCTATCTCAATCTGTTCATCTATCTATCTATCTATCTATCTATCTATCTATCTCAGTCTGTTCATTTGTCTATCTATCTATCTATCTATCTATCTATCTATCTATCTATCTATCTATCTATCTCTATCTATCTATCTATCTATCTATCTATCTCAATCTGTTCATCTATCTATCTATCTATCTATCTATCTATCTATCTTTCTCAGTCTTTTCATCTATCTATCTATTTATCTATCTTAGTCTGTTCATCTATCTATCTCAGTCTGTTCATCTATCTATCTATCTATCTATCTATCTATCTATCTATCTATCTATCTATCTCAGTCTGTTCATCTATCTATCTATCTATCTATCTATCTATCTATCTATCTATCTCAATCTGTTCATCTATCTATCTATCTATCTTTTTCAGTCTGTTCATCTATCTATCTATCTATCTCAGCCTGTTCATATCTATCTATCTATCTCAGTCTGTTCATCTATCTATCTATCTATCTCCAAATGATTTTTCTCAACCACTCTCAGTTCTCTCATAGACACACATACACGCAAGCATATTCTTCCTCTGACGGATTTTATTAAAGAGAAGGTTTTATTTGCTAAAATGTATTTATGAACAGAAGTAAAAATATCGTTAGGTTTCCAAATGTACATTTACTCACTTTCGTTTGTTAGGCATGAAATTACATCACTTAACACCCTCCATTGTTTACTTCGACGTTCACATTCAGCCGTAACAATATTTTTGAGCGTTCTTGAATTATATTGTTTAAAATTTCCGATATTTTTAAGTGTATTAAATGTCATCAATCCAACTTTAATAAATTTGGACACAGAAGACAACACTACGTAGTAACTGCCAAAGTGAACTCAAAGAAGACATACGTATGTGTGTGTGTGTTCGTATGTGTCCGTGTCTGAGAATGTGTGAATATACACTTCTTTTCCGTCAATGTTTTCTACATTTTTGTATCTTATAAATCAAAAACCTATACTTTCCTACGTCTTAATCTCTCTTTTTCCTTCTTCTCTCACTTTCTTTCTTTCTATCTCAGTCTATTCTTCTCTCTCTCTCTCTCTCTCTCTCTCTCTCTCTATATATATATATATATATATATATATATATATATATATATATATATATATATATCCTAGTCTATATATAAGGATATATATATATAAACTTATCTATCTCAATCTATTCTTATCTATCTATCTATCTATCTATCTATCTATCTATCTCTTATATATATATATATATATATATATATATATATATATATATATATATATATGTATGTATGTATTGATCTATGTATATAGTTATCCACAGACAGACTGTTTCCCTGTATCACAGCTCATCAGTGTGACTAGACATGCGATTGCTTCAAGCCGGGATCGAAACCCCACATTTGGAGACACTCACCACTAGGCCATCATTGCACGCTAAGGAGAAAGGGAATTTTTAACGCATTGTACAGTGTAACCCGGATATAAGAGACCCGGATATAAGAGAAACCCGGATATAAGAGAGATTTCCTCTGGTCCCAAATTAGAGCCTGTGTTAATGCATATAAAATAGACCAAACCCGGATATAAGAGAAACCCGGATATAAGAGACTTCTTCTCCGGTCCTGACAACTCTCTTATATCCGGGTTACACTCTATCTATCTATCTATCTATCTATCTATCTATCTATCTATCTATCTATTTGTCTGTCTATCTACCTCTTTCGATTATGTTTGAAGTAATTTTTTTGTTAACAATAATTTTTAGCGCCTTTTCTTCTTCGTTCGCGATTTTTTTTTTTCAAATTCCACCCTCACCACGTGCTTCCTTATTTCACATCACAAGAAAACTTACTTTGCAACATTTATTTTCTTTACTAAACATTCTTTCTCTTTTTTTTTGTGCCGCCATTATAACCCCTGAACCACCCATCCCCTCTCATTGTTTATTCTCCCGCCCTCTCTCCCGCGACCCCGTCGTATTTCTTCACTTCCCTCCCTCGATTCTCTGATCCTCTTATCCTGCATACTATTGGCAGCCATTCCCGCCCGATTCCTGTCAATCAAAATTTCTATCTTCGCATCTCCAGCCAAACATACGTCAATTTTTTCCTCTACTTCCCTAAGCTGTTTATCTGCCTTAATCTTTATTTTATCATCTTTATTCTTCTAAACTTATATATACCTACATACACGCACATACACACATGCATATATATATATATGTGTGTGTGTGTGTGTGTGTGTGTATATATACTGCACTGTTTATTCTTCTAAGCATACATACATATATATATTACCACCTTATATATTATAAACTTAACTATATACTTATATATATATATATATATATATATATATATATATATATATACACATGCATATACTATAATGGTAATTCTTCTAAACTCACTTACACACATATATTGAACACAAAGACACACATATATATTACCATCTTTATTTTCATAAAATTACCTATATATATGACACACAAAACACACACACACACACATATATATATATATATATATATATATATATATATATATACATATTCTAACTTAAAACTTACAAGTTTTAAGTTAGAATATATATATATATATATATATATTTACATGCATATATATATATATATTTGTACGTATATATATATATATATATATATATATATATGTATATATATATATATACACATATACATATATATATATATATATCTATATGCTTGTGTGTGTATGTTTTTGTATATCTATATGAGTGTGCGTATGTGTAAAGTTGTTTTAATACGGCTTTCAGTATTATTTATATATTTATCTACATTCTAGAATCAAAATGTATATATTTGATTTTACATGTGCATATATGTATGTACGTACATAAAAATACGCATAATTTGCTCTATACACATATACACACACGTACACACACATATATATAATTCATATATACACATATACGTACACACACACACACACACACACACACACACATATATATATATATATATATATATATATATATATATATATACGTACATATTCTGACTTAAAACTTATAAAATATAAAACATACATAAACTGTGTAGTACTGCGCATTCGAGAAATCAAAGTAAAAAAAAAGAGTCCCCCGGCAGGAATCGAACTTGCGTCCCTCTCGAAAACTATCATTTCATCCAATGTACTTTAGACAGCTGGATAATATTCATAAATCCTTTAGAAATTTCTTTGTTTACATTTCGGATACGAAACTGATCAGATACGCGCTTTCGAGAAAAATTTGAATTAGGCAATATCCCTTTACACTTTTCGATCTCTAGACGCACAACTCACCAGAAAAGCCTGGTGAGGGAACAGGTTTGATTGCTTATGACCAAATCATGCAGCAAATTGGGTTATATACTACGAGTAGCCCTCACCTGACATTATATGAAGAGATACTCAATACATTTTTGTTTCATATTTTGAAAAGGTATATTTTATTTTATAATTGTATATAAATGCATTTACCTGAAAATTTGTTAATGTAAAGCTGAAGCCTACATGTGGTGTAAGTTTCAGATAAATAATATACGAATAGATAATGTCACACATTGTTTTCAGTGTATTGAATATTTAGATTCCCACTATATATATTAAGAATTACTCTTCAAGTATGAACTGAGTTTACCGTGCTTCTGGCATATTTCGTATAGAGAAAAACGTTAAAATTCATTTCTGCCGTGTGACGTTGGCCTAGAGGTAAAACATCTGAGTACAGTCGGGTTTCGATCCCGGCTTGATGCAATGGGACTTCTAGCCACACTAAGGAACTGTGATACAGCGCGAAACAATCTGTCTGTGGATGACTATATATATATATATATATATATATATATATATATATATATATATATATATATATGTGTGTGTGTGTGTGTGTGTGTGCGAGGGTCGGCCAAAAAGTTCTAAGTCTCACCAAGAAGGTGTTTTACAAGAGAGTTTTTCAGTATTTTTTATTGTAGTACCCCTTGACTTCGATGCACTTCGTTCCAATGATAATTAAGCATTGCAGTTCCATTACGGAAGAAGTCCAAGTCCTCCAAAAACTCCGACACAGGACATATGATCTTATCATTGTTTCCAAAATGGCGAGCACGCAGGTGGAATTTGAGTTTTTAGAAAAGAGGAAGAAGTCAGTTGGAGCTAAATCTGGTGAGTCAAGAGGATAAAGTAGCAAAGCAATTCAAAGCTACGGTAGGCTGATTCATCTATTTGAGAACTGTAAACGGACGCGTTATCCTGGCGCAAGAGCACGCCTCCTCTTACCCTCCCTCTGCCTTTTGATTTGATTGTTGACGTCGGTTGTATTCATTTTGATGCATAGTACTGTCCATAAATATTTTTTTTTCTCTCTCTTTTCCAAGTAGTCTATCATCATTACGCCATCAGAATAAAAAAAAAACATCACCTTGAAAAAAGGCGCTGTCTGCTCGAAAATCTTCTGGGTGAAGAAACAGAGTTTTTCCAATGTTTCTTTGATTCGGGTTCGAAGTGGTGAATCCAGGTTTCATCTTACTTTACTAATCTACAGTGAAAATTACCAGCCTGAAAGCCTGTCAGAAATGTCAACCCCTTTTCAGTTTCTGCTCTGGTGTCAGCATTCTTGGAACCCATCTAGAAGACATCTTGCTCATTCTCAAGATCTCAGTTAAAACAATATGGACTGAACCAGAACTAATGCCGGTGAAATAAGCTATCTACTGTGCAGTAAAATGTCTTTTATTGAAAACCATACGATGAATGGCATCAACTTATTCATCAGTGTTTGAGGTTTTTGGACGACATGGCCAAAGGTCATCATCTTTGCTGGCTCCTTAAATATAGCATTTAAGACTATATTTTCTTGAATTCTGCAGCCCACTTCTTCACAGTTGCATAGGAAGTGGAGCTCTTTGCAAATGTCTGTGTCATGTCCTCGTGGATTTCATTGGGTGACGTACCTTTCTTTTGCAGATATTTTATGACTGCTCGTGCTTCTATTTTGTCCATTTTTAGATTTGTTATATATACCTTTATATATTTAATTTCATATGGGACTCATTTGCTAAAATAACAGAAAAATTAATTTACAGAAATCTTTATTAGAATTTTCTGGTCTTATATGAAATGATTAAAACATTCTAATGCACAAAAAAATGTTTATAAAAATAAAAATAAATGGTAAGAACTAAAGAGGTCTTCTTTCTGGTATATATATATATATATATATATATATATATATATATATATATATATATATATATATATGGCTAGACTGAATAATTGCATATTTTTATATTAATATAAACAGACTGTCGCCTCCTAATATGAATTTTTATGTAAAAATATTTTATATATTTATATCTATAAATATTCTATCTCTGATATTTTCCTTGAAGCACTTTATTCCATAAATATAGCATACCTTAAGACTATATTTCTTTATATATATATATATATATATATATATATATAT